ACCCTCGGGCGGGAGCACCGCCGCGCTTCCCAAGTGGCGCACTATAGCAGGGCGCCACCGGGCTGGCCCCATCCACCACCATTTTTTTTTTTTTTTTAAAGATGACCGGTAAGGGGATCTCAACCCTTGACTTGGTGTTGTCAGCACCTCGCTCAGCCAGTGAGCGGGAACCGGTCTGTATGTGGGATCCGAACCCTCGGGCGGGAGCACCGCCGCGCTTCCCAAGTGGCGCACTATAGCAGTGCGCCACCGGGCTGGCCCAATCCACCACCATTTTTAAGCAGAGACCCTTTTGATTCTTGAGGAGGAGAGGACACTTCAGCGGCAGGTGTGTGAGATTATCATCCCACCCGGCTCCATGTGGAAGCCTGTGTGGAGGATGGATGTGTGGGTCACTGAATCAACTCTTACTCCAGAGGGAAGGTAAGACAGTGTAGGGGAGACAGAGTGATCAGAAAGGAAGCGTCTCCACCCCACCCCACCCCGGTCCTGCCTACCTCAGCAACGCCCCTGTCTGTCCCAGGCTCTGTCTTGCACAGCCCCCTCGAGCGTGGGCATATCTAAGCAGGACTTACTTCTGTGATGATGTAGAAGTCATCCCCTGGCTCCCCCTGAACAACGATTTTCTCTCCATCCTCAAACTGGACGGGCTCCAGCGCGTCGGCCACTGTCAGACGTTCCCACTTCTCCAGGGACTCTGCAGCAGGAAGACACAGAAAGAGTCACCGCGGGCCAACACCTCATCCACAATGGTGTAAGACAAGGGCAATTGGTCTTCTCAAAATGTGCCCTCAGATAACACGACAACATTAGCTCCATGAAGAGCAAGCTTTGTAAGGTGGACAAATGAATAAAACAGAAAGGAGTAGAGGCCACAAAAGCCAGTTCTCCAGTGTTTCTGTGCTAGGAGGCCTGGATAGTTTTACAACTAGATTGGATCCAAGATGCACAAGCTCTCTTCAGCAGGGAGATTGGTTTTAAAATGAGAGCTATTCTAACACTCATGACTGGTTTAACATAAATAACAAGCCCTGAAAATTGAGTCTAAGTTAACTTACTATGAAAATACTTTTGTTATCTTCAAAAGAATAGAACTGCCTGTATTTCTGCAAACAATAGTCACAGCTAAGCACCAAGGCTGCTAAGCGATTTAAAATAATTCAGAGTGTTACTATGAAAATACTTTTGTTATCTTCAAAAGAATAGAACTGCCTGTATTTCTGCAAACAATTGTCACAGCTAAGCACCAAGGCTGCTAAGCGATTTAAAATAATTCAGAGTGTCCAAAGCAATTTCTTATTCAAAAGAAACACCATCCATCCAAGGATTTTCAAAGAACATTTATGTTGCAATATTAAGGCATAGTACACCTTCCGTTATTTTAGTTCAAAATTCTTAATTCCAATGCCAAGTTTATCTTTAAATGCTTGCAAATTCAATAGATCTTTCCACCCTTCTCACACCTTCCCTTCTCTGTCATTATCCATTCCTAACCCTTGGGAAGGAAGAAAAAAATAATAACGTGAGACTTTTATAGGAAAATAATGATTGCCTGATTAACTATTTCTTTTTTGGCAAAAGAAACTTTCCTGGCTTATGCTTATCAGAGGCTACCTATGTAGGTCAGCTGCTAAAAATAAAAAGCAATGCATTTATTTTAGATCTAGGTTAGGAGGGGGATTTCTCTCCTTATACACCCCTGCCAGTGCTCTGCATTGCAAAGGACAGTGCTTTCCACTAAGCCCAGGGCCAGAGTGAACCATGGTCGCTTGACCAGCTTTATTTTCAAAAAAGGCCTGTTCTAGACAGAAGCTGCTTGATAATTCAGAGCCCGGAGTGTTCCCAAGCAGGTCAGCACATCAACGCACATCTTGTCACAAAACAATGCAGGTTCTTTTGAAAAAATTACGGTTTGTGTTTAGGAGGAAATGGGTACAGAATCAGACTGACATATGAATGTAGAATGTTTTCTTTATTCGTTTCCTTACTAGGGCTATGATGAGAGGCATTAATTTTAGAAGTCCGTTGCAGTTAGAAAGTTTATTTCCACATATTTGATTAGCAGATTTTCTTCTATTACATTTGAAACCTGCAATATTATAAGGTCTGAAAATCAAGATTTGCAACAGCTTTATTCCGCAACAACATAAACCTTGGGTGAAAACTGTCAGAAGAAACTGTAGGGGAGATGGCAATTTTTTGGTCCCCAGTTTTTTAGATGTTTCAAGTCTCTGAGGCAATTCATGAAACACAAAACATTTGGGGGTGCTTTGTAAGCTGTAATTCAAAATCCCTGTGTCTCAGGATACTGAATGCTAAGAGTCAGTCCCATGTAGGAAAAGAGTGACTCAGGCTGCAGGGAGTTCTGCTTTTAATGATCCCCTTTTCTGAAAGGTATTTCAAAATCCCTGTGTCTCAGGATACTGAATGCTAAGAGTCAGTCCCATGTAGGAAAAGAGTGACCCAGGCTGCAGGGAGTTCTGCTTTTAATGATCCCCTTTTCTGAAAGGTATTTCCAACACTGCACATGGAGAGTGTACAGAACAAACGCAGACAAGTTTCCCCAACAGCACCTCACAGAAGTCAGCCTGCAGCCACTGACATGACAAAGCAGGGTGGGTAAACCTGCCAAGATGGGGCATGCACCTGCCCAGGAAGGCCAACCCTGCCAAACACTCCACGGTGGAATTCTGCGGATTCGCACCTCCACGTTCAGGACTGTGCTGAGTGCGGTGGAGTCTCTGTCCCAGGGGCCAACCCTGGCATGTTTATGGGGAGATAATGGGACCTCAAACACACAAAATGACAATTACCATTCCCAAATTTCCAGTGAGGGAGGAGAGATGCCAAAGTCCACAGCTTCAGGGTCCATCCACGCTGAGGGCAGGCGGACTGAGAGGGAGGCTGTCCCGCTTAGCAAAACTGGTGGCATGAGGCATTGTCCCACAGCCACTTTTTGGAGGACTTTGTGCGGCTAATGGTGACTGATCAGGAGAAGTGATTAGAGTCTTATTGCTCCTCCTCTGGAAAGCAGGGGAAAAGCTGGCCACACTCGGTGGCTATCTCATTAATCAAAGGAAAACAAAATGGGTGGGTAGAAGGCCAAGCATATGTTGTAAGGGTGTCTGACAGGCCAATAAAAGCCCAAGACATTCAAAAGAAGAAAGGAACAATCTCTAGCCTGGGCCTGCCTATTCCACGCTGAAGTGCTCATCTGTTTAGTCCCAGGGTAGTCTCCAGTGCCTCTCCTCCTGGGTGCAGGAAGAGGGTCTCACCTTTCATTTGCCCAGTAGCAACAGTGCAGTTGTCAGCTTCCATAGCACCAGTAAATGGATGAATCTGGGAAGGAGACTGACTATTCAGTGCCCAGTACCTGGTGGGCACTGTGGGCCAGGGCCCCACACCCACCTCTGCCTCAAAGGCAACGGAGACAGAAAAAGACTCCAAAGGTCCCTGGTTTTTGGATTTTGTGTACAGATAAAATGTCCCTCAGCCCCTGCAAAATCTTAGGGACCAACTCATGAGATTGCCAGCTTTTTGTTTTGCCAAGTATGACATTTTTTTAAAAAAAGCCTCTAGAAAGAAGCCAGACACAAAAGGCCACACGTATGATTTTTAATGGGATGAAATGTCCAGAACAGGGAAATCCACAGAGACAGAAAGTAGAACTGTGGTTTCAGGAGCTCGGGGGAGGGAGGAAGGGGAGCTACTGCTAATGGGTACGGGATTTCTGTTTAGGGTGATGAAAGAGTTCTGGAACTAGATAGTGGTGATGGTTGTACAATATTGTGAATGTACTTAATGCCCCTGAATTGTACTTGTGAAAATGATCAAAATGGTCCATTTTATTTTATGTGTATTTTACCACAATAAAAAAGAAATACTAGCTTGTCTCAACATTTCACAAAAGGATTTCAGAGTTCAGGGCAAAGTTTTCCCTGAGAAGGGGCCTAGGCACAGTCAAATGCAGGTGTGCACATGCACGCACACACACACACACGCACACGCATGCACGCACACACACACGCACGCAGGCACGCACACACACGCACGCACGCACACACACACGCACACGCACGCACGCATGCACACACACACACGCACGCACACGCGCACACACACACACACACACGCAGGCACGACTCTGGCTGTTCTGGTGCATGGAG